CAGAAGACTGACCTGCACTGCATAGTAACAAATGTCTTGGGTCTCATTTAAGAGCTCCTTCTCAGCTCTTCCTGGAGATGCCAGAGACCTGATTTGCCATCATTTGCATGTAAGACATCATTTGCATGCAAAGCATCTACTCTATCACTGATGCAACCTCAATGCCTCACAAGAACAGCCTCTTACTCTAAGAGACTGTGATATGGTTTTCTCACATGTCTTCTATACAACTTGGATTTGAGTAACACAGCTGTCCATATGACTTTTTTAATTCAGCCAAATTCCCCAGTACAGGCATCCCTCCTGATTTGCAGGGAATCTGTTCCAGACTCCCCCCCCAACAAATCCGGAGAAATGCAAATATCGGTCCCCATTGGTTACAATGGGGGTGCGCTCCCGTGTACAGCACTGTGTGCGCACCTCGGGCACACATACCATTTTGTCCCTCCCCGCTTGCTGTCCACGAACAAGTGAGACCATGGACTCTGCAAACAGGGAGGGATGCCTGTATTTTACTACTGTCCCCTCTTTAGTAAAAAAGGTTCCCACAGTTCAGAGCAATTTTCTTTTCTGTACAGAGGGATATCTATGTTCCTCTTTTTTATTTTAAAAAAGCCTCTGCCTACATAGACATACCTCCATACGAGCTTAACTGAGAAAAATTATAACATCCTGACAAAATGTAGGCCTGTGTCACCAATGTCATCAATTTTTTCTTTCTCTCATTCTCCTGTTTGATTTTTAACACCTTTGCCTGATGAAAAAGCCAGTGGAGCGGTAAAATCTTGCACCATGTATTTTATGCATTTTAGTTGGCCCAATAATGGTATTGCTGTTTTGTGGATTTTGGATATTGTACCTCATTCTTTATAGGTGATAGATACATAACTCATAAGTTTCTGTTTACACACTTATAGAGCATTAAGGAGGTATTCTGTCTCAACCGTTAAGAACACACCAAGAAATCTGGTAGCAATAAGGTCTCCTATATGACATTAGAATCTAGACTGTAATGCAGGGGTAGGCAACCTTTCCCCTTTAAGGGCCGAGGGACTTCAGCTCCCAGAAGCCTCAGCCATGTTGGCCAATAGTCCCATGTTGGTGAATACCTCCTGGGATTCTGGGAGCTGAAGTCCCTCAGCCCTTAAAGGGGAAAGGTTGCCTACCCCTGCTGTAATGATTCATCAGTTGAGAGGTATCTTTTAAAAAGTTGTAGACTTCCATTATCTCTAATAGCCACTTTCTCCTAGTCTGTAAAGGCATTCAACAAAATATGAGCTACATCAGTGCATTCTGACCATGGGCTGCATTCTGCTGTGTCCTCCTACCAGTGAAACTGCTTCCTCAGTTAGAATGTTCTTCCATTCCCTGCTGCAGTCCAGAATCTACCCAAGAGTTGGAGGACCCTCCAGAGCAGATCTGGGCAGCATGGGAAGCATGAGAGAAAGCGAAATCCTGTTGTACAAGTGAAATTCTGCTTAGATAACATTTGATTTACCCAGGAACTTCCATGTATCTGACAGGCATCATGTAACAGGTATGCTCCCATGCCCTCCAGTGCAATCACATAAAATGATATTCTGCTGCCTCCTTACTTCCTCTCGAAGCTGCTTTGTAATAGCGTATTCCTAAACTTCATGACAGAAATGACAACTACACTTGTGCAAGAGCTGGACATAAGCACTAGTGTATACAAAGGGCTCTGAATTGGAGGCTGCATCCATACTGTAGAAATAATCCAGTTTGACACAGCTTCAACTTTCATGGCTCAATGTTGTAGAATCCTGGGATTTGTAGTTTGTTGTGGCTCCAGAGCTCTCTAACAGGGAAGGCCAAATATCTCACCAAACTACAAATCCCAGAATTCCATAGCATGGAGCCATGGCATTTAAAGTGGGGTCAAACTGGATTATTTCTGCAGTGCAGATGCAGCCGAAGACTTTGAACGTCAGCTAGGGAGCAGAATCTGGATACTGAAAATTGGTCTCTTTAAACGTTCAAAACTACACAACTCTCAATAAGGACTTACAAAATTGTATGTACCTTCCAAAGTCTGAGATGGAACATACGAGTTATTAGGAAACCTTTGCTTATCAACATCTGTAGATGTTCTTGCTGAAGGCATCGTAAGAGGCAAAGCAGGAACACTGTATTTGTGGGATGTTTTACTAAGCAATTTTGTTACTTCAGCTTCATCCTCCAAATATGTTATAAAAGCATAAATAACTGGTTCATTAGACTCAGAGGATATTAAGGCTTTTTCATAAAGGAATTCAGCAATGTGAAGCCGACAAGCCAAGGGCAGGTTCTCATTAGTGGAATAGAATGCCACAAGGGGTGCCTGATAAGGATATTTGTTATCCTCAGGAAATCTCACTTCAAGTTCATACACTGGAGCGTTGTCACTGTTAAGTCTGAGATGAGAATCATCTCTAATATTTGGAAGTGTTTTTTGCTTGTTTGGAGTGTCATGCTTGAACCGACATCTTGATCCAAACCTGCAGTCTCCTCTGAGGTAGTGTTTACAGATTTCCAGGGAAGCTGGATTTAGCCCATTGCTGGTATTGCTAGGTTCTTTTTTGTGTTTGCTAAGAATCTCTGTAAGGTGTGCCAAGTCTAATGTAATGGTCCAAACTCGATTTTGAATTCTTTCCACAAATTTGTCTCCGCAGATGGAACGGAGGGCAAAAGCCTCTTCTCGTCTTTGCTCCAAACAGTCTTCAGTACTTGCCTGAGCAGCACTTTCTGTGATCTGCATCCTCTCTGCAAATTTTTCTGAGAAGCACTGCAACAGTAAGTCTTCCAGTGATGCTCCAATGTTACCATTATAGGATTTCAAGACTGCTCGGCAACGTTCACTATCAAAACCGTACCTAGAAGGTGTAGAAAAAAAAACTATTGCAGATACATGTGACAAAATACTTTGCCCATATAAGCAGACCTACCACCTTTAAGGACACTCACTGGTACCATCATAAGAAACAATATTTATTCTTTATTACAGTGTTTATATACAATAAAGTCAGAATAGTAAACAATAAAATCAATTTAAGATAATTAACAACAGCTGGAATTCTATTAAAGTAGTGTCAAATGGCTTTATTTTTGCAGTGTAGCAGAAGCCAAGGTCTCCAACGTGAGCCCGAAGTGCAAGCACTTGTCATTTTGGAAATAGCTTGGTCTTGGACAGTCAATTAAGACCAATTTGCTTTACAAAAGAGCTAGTAGAAAAGGAAACAGAACAGTTTTATTGATGAGATCAAATAATTGTTTTCTTTTCTACTAGCAGCAGCTTTTTTATAATGCAAATTGGTCTTAATTGCCTATTCAAGACCAAGACATTCCCAAAATGACAGCTCATAATTACCTTATTTTCCTGCGTATAAGACTACTTTTTTACCTGCAAAATCTGTGGCTAAAGTGGGGGGGTCGTCTTATACGCCGGATATAGGGGTAATGAGGGTGGAGGTGCTAAAACTCTATATTTTGACTGAAAAATGGGGAGTCGTCTTATACGCGGGTCATCTTATACGCCGGAAAATACGGTAACCTTTCCTGAGGAAACTATTTCTTCCCCAGTTACTGAAAGGATTACTGGTAAGCTTACAGAAGACAAGGAAAACAATGATCTCATCATACCTACTACTGAAAATGGCCCAGTGCTTTGATGCTCTGAGCTATGGCACCTATAACACCACTGTGTCTTGCACAATTTTCACTGTACTTTATTTGGATGGCAGTGGCTTTTACATCACAGTGGTTTGCATTCCATGATTATGTGCTGGATTGTGAAAGGTTGAAAATTTGGAAATAGGAGAAAGTGGCCTCAGAATTAAAAACAGCTGTGAGTTAGACTGTAAAAAACTATTGCTTTCTTTCTCCCTCATCATATCACTATCAGCACATATGCCACCTTCTGGAATTTATCAGCTGTCTAATTAGCAATTTCACAAAAGTTAGAAACATGCTTTTTACAAACACACAAGTGTCTGGAATATCCACACAAATGACATATTTCATACTGTTTTATGGAACTGACTTCCAGCACCAATATCCTAAAGCTACTGACTGACCACTATTTTGTTTTTATTTATATTAAAATAATCACCTGGAAAGTTTGTGTACAGCAAATGAGGATACTTCAGTTTCTGGAACATGATTTACAGATGCCTGAGAAACATTTGCCTGTCTTTTAGAAACTGCTGGATTTTGTGACCAGCACTGATTATCATCCAAGTCATCTGGTTCATCAGATTCATCATCACCCAAAACAGGCATCCTGGAAAGAGATTTGGTTCATTTACAAGTAATATCCCATGAGGCAAAGTATAGTTCAAGAATTTGAGAAGCAAATTTACTACACAAGTGATTCTACTTAATCCAAGCAAATAGGATATTTTAGTCCCCTGAGTTATGCTTTGTTGCAGAATTCACACACAACTGGATATTTAAAGCAGGCATATACACAAGTGCTACATTAAGAATTGTAAACAATATCCCTGTGTTTCAGCAACCTATTATAAACAGTGTTTATTCTTTTTAAAAAAAGACAGACAAAAAATGGCTAGGACAAAAATTGTCCAATAAATCTTTTGCATTTGTGTTGCCTACTTTTTCTTCAAGCTAGAAAGGTGTCAGCTATCTAGAACAAAAACTGCACCACGGAACAAGTGTTGTTTGACTGTGGGTATTTGGGTATTTTTGAATACTCAATTCTGTAACTGAAAACACTCCTTGTTGACGCAGGGCACTTTTATATCTCACAATACACTGGAATTCCTATTTGGGTCAGAAAACACTCCAAGTGATGGTACTCTGTGGAAATTTTTTATCTGCCTGGATGAGGTGGGTTTTTGTTTTGTTTTGTTTTTTTGGTTTTTTGGGTTTTTTTTGGTACCTTCAAGTCATGGGGTTTTCTTGGCAAGTTTCTTCAGATGAGGTTTGCCATTGCTGTCCCTTGAGGTTGAGAATGTGTGACTTGCCCAAAGTCCCCCAGGGCAAGTGTGAGCAGGGAATCAAACCCTGGTTTCCAAAGTCATAGTCTAACACTCAAACCACTATGCCACACTAGCTCTATGATGAGAAATTCTAAGAATAATTACACTCATCCTTCCACATCTGCAGCTTTGACTTTTGTGATTATTCACGGATTTTATTAATATGTTCTCTCTAGGAATATCTAGGTCCTCCAGTGCAACTCTATCATCAACGTCAACCAAAGGTCACTGAAGGAACTAGAGATTCTTAGAGAGAACACTCCACTAGGTATTTGTAGCTCCTCCAGCGCAATTCTATGTTCGATGTCTGACAGATAACCAGAGTTGAACTGGCGGATCTAGAGATTTATAGGGAGGTGTTCTCTCAGGTAAAAATATAGTGCTTTTGTTATTTGAGGTTTTCCCATATTCATGGGGGTCCTGGGCCCTAACCCCAGAAAATGTGAAGGGATGTGTGTAAAGGTTTCACTGTCAGTTGCATGGTATCTGTTTAATGAGGAAATTATTCAGGTTTAAAAACTCACTCTGGGCCATCAGTCAGTTCTTGGCCTTGGAGCTCGAGGAGGAGTTCTTTCACCCTCCTCTGATTCTCTGAAGTCATGTGCAGGGTCTGCAGGGGCATCATGGTCTTTGAAACATGCCTGGTCTGTGCGTATCCTCTGTTAACAGAGCTTGAGGTAAAAAAAGGGGGGGGGAGGAAACAAACCAACATTTTAAAATGCGTTTACATAGTAGAAAATACATAGGTAAAGGTATTCCCCGTTGACAAAGTTGTCAAGTCATGTCCAACCATAGGGGGCGGTGCTCATCTCCGTTACTAAGCCAATGATGATAGATGAACACCTCTATAAATACATAGATGAGCACATAACTTTAGTTAACTGAAGGCATGACAAATAAAAATAGTGGCATATTCAGACCAGCATATATTGTCTGTTTCCATAGAATTCTCAGGCATACATGCCAAATTGCTGGGACTCAACATGCTTGATATTTACGATACAGAAGCTTTGACAAGCCTTGAACTGTGCACATGGTAAACCCACAGATTAGGAAGATCAGTTTAGATAGCACAAAAACTGATGCAAAACTACAACAGGGTTTTGTAGGTTATGCTGTCATATTTTTAGTTATTTTTTCAAACCACTTTAAGTCCCTTGTTTAAGAAACTTAATTTACACCCTTTTTTCCAGCTATTCATCTCTAATTTGAACTGACTGGGTGACATCATATGGCTATATCATGAAAAACAAGCAACTACACTTGCCGCTCTGTTTTCGTGGGGGATCCATTCCAGACCCCCACGAAAATGGAAACTCACCAATATTCAAGCCCCATTGGCTTGAATGGCCATGCGCTCCTGCACGAGGCCTAGCGCGCATGCCATTTTTGCCAATGGAGCTCACCCTTCTGCAAAGAAATGGAGGGGCAAGTGTATTCAACAACTCTTCTCCAGTGCTGTACAGTCTCTCTTCATTACACAGCAGTACACAGCTACTCAGCTACAACCACATCAAAATCTCTCTTTTTAAAACTTCAGTTGTCTCAAATTTCTTTACAGAAAGACTTTTTTAAAAATAATAGTCTAAATCCAAAAATATAAGAGTTGAACATTTTTGTTTCGCTGACCTTGGTACCTCTCTTGCTCCACTGAAAACACAGAAATCATCATCATCATCCCAAATTTTGTCTGAGCCTTTTTTGCTGCCACTGCCTTGATGTTTACTAGGTCTTCCACTGCCACCGCCGCCACCACCTCGTCCTCCCCTTCCTTTTCCTCCTCTTCCTCCCCCTCTGTTTGGTCTTCCTCTTCTCTTCCCTGATGAACTCATTGTCTTCTTCTAAAGGAAAAGAAAATACAGTACAAGCAAACATTAACCTACCAGTGATATACAACATTAATGTCACCCTCTAGATATACAGCAGTAAATATTGCAATTATTATATACTTTTAGCACTGACAAAAAATATCAGCCAACACCTCCCCTCTCCTACAACATGTACACTAGATGCAGATCCCATGGATTTCAAGTGATCTTACTCACTAGTAATTGTAAACTAGATTGCAATTTTACTAGGTTACAATCAAGAAGACAAGGAAACCTATGGCATTAAAGATTAATTTATTGTCTCACAAGTTTTTTGCAAACAAAAGCTTCCTATTTCATCAGATGTATGAAATAAGACGGTTGAAATACAACTATATAACCATCTATTACATAGCAATTAATAGCTTAAACTAAGAGGTGGAAATCCTTTGTTCAAACCTTGGCTCAATCACAAACTAACAGGATGGCTTTAGACAAGTCATTTTTTCTTGGATTACTGTTGAACATAAAGAAAACAAAAATAATGACCACCGAGGATCTTGACAAGTTCAACCTAGACAATGAAGAAATAGTAAAAGAATTCCCATACCTGGGATCAAAATGACAGAATTGACAGAATTGACAGAAATGGAGACTACAGTCAGGAAATCAGAAGAAGACTAAGAATGGGGAGGGTGGCTATGAAAGAACTAGAAAAGAGTTAGAATCATACAAGCCATTGTATTCCCTATTATCATGTATGGATGTGAGAGCTGGACAGTTAAGAAAGATGATAGGAAGAAAATAAATTCATTTGAGATGTGGTGCTGGAGAAGAGTGCTGAGGGTCCCATGGACAGCCAAAAGGACAAACAAATGGGTCCTAGAGCAGATCAAGCCGGAAACCTCCTTGGAAGTCAAGATGACCAAACTGAGGCTCTTGTACTTTGGCCACATCATGAGAAGGGAGGACTCATTGGAAAAGACAATAAAGCTGGGAAAAGTAGAGGGAAGCAGGAAGAGGGGAAGGCCATATGCCAGATGGATGGACTCTATTAAGGAAGTCACAGGTATTAAGGTGTTGCAGGAATTAAGCAGAGCAGTGGAGGACAGAGGGTCTTGGAGATGTCTCATCCATAAGGTCACCATGCGTCAAGATCAACTGAAAGGCAGCTGACAACAACAAAAGTGGGAGAGCTAGTATTATAGTAATAATAATGTTGATAATAAAATGAGCAACAGCACAACAGAGGAAGAACATGAATTACAAATTCAGATTTTTGATTCAAGATAAGCGGGCTCCTAAAGTTTGTGTTAAAACCAATTAGAGTGGGCCCATGGTATCTGCTGAAGTTTGGTTCCAGGATCCCTCGTGGATACTAAAATCTGTGGATTCTCAAGTCCCATTATCTACAATGGCATAGTAAAGCTGTGCCCCTTATATAAAATAGCAAACTCAAGTTTTGCTTTTTGGAATTTATATTTTTTTAATATTTTCAAACCATGGATAGTTGAATCCGTGGATAAAGAATCCATGGATACAGCAAGCTGCCTGTAATTAGCTTTTGAGATACCATACCTAACACCCCAAAATAATCCCACAGCACCCTATTTACTTATCAGTACTAAACTAAAATGCCAAGGCTATCAGAAGGAGAGAAAACGCCAGTCAGCACACAAATCCTTTATGCTTAGGAACATGAGCTGAGAACCTCTCCTCCCTCCAACTGAAACTAATGAGGCCATCAAAGGAGGAGAAAACAATGGTATTTAAACACCATTGTGTTTAGACTCCAATCCACAGCTGAATTACAACCTGATGAACTTTGTAACTAAGAATCTACAGCTGTGTTGGCTTTTCCCCTCCTTCTGCTCCTTCCTTTTTGTGGTTTGTTTTTCATGTTTTAGTTTGTACTAACAGTCTTATGCAGTATTCTGGTAGCCCTTTCAATGGAACAGTGGGATAAAAATGCCTTAAATACATACAAAAATGTTCAACATTATACATTGCCAATGAACACATAAACTGGCCTTTTTGGGGGAAGGAGAACACCTCATAAGCACATATTTTTTATGGTGAAGGTTTCTGGTGCAATTCTCAGTTTCTCTAGATAGATCTACAAAAACGCTTTGTCTAGAACCTTAGGGAAAATTGCCAATCATTACATATAATACAAACATAAATAGACCAATGAACTGATTTAGTGTAAGGCAGTTTCTACTGTGTCTTTTGGTCAATCTATCTCAGACTGCACTACACTACAGAAATAATGCATGTTGACAACACTTTTAACTCTATCCTACAGAACCCTGGGATTTGTTGTTTTGGGAGGCACCAGCACACTTTGGCAGAGAAGGCCAAAGTCCTTGTAAAACTACAAATCCTAGGATTCCATAGGCTGGAGCTACGAGACTTAAAATGGCATCAAAGTGCATTATTTTTACAGTGGAGACATAGAGCCGGTAATGTCTATTCTAACTGTTGGTGAGCCCCTTAGGTTCAGAGCAGAGGTCTATCAGCCCTGCCAACCCAAAATCCTTTTCTTTCCTTAAAAATATATTTTTTGTATTTTTAAAAAAACTTCATAAAGCAGGGAACCTACCATTCAGCAACCGCTACCTCTGTGAACTACACACTGTCTGCATTCAATGCAGTTTGACACCACTTTAAGTCCCATGGCTAAGGCTGTGTAATTCTAGGATTTGTAGTTCTGTGGGTTATTTAGCTTGAGCCATGGCAGTTAAAGTGGTATCAAACCAGATTATTTCTGCAGTATGGATGCAGCCTCTGTTTGCATTTAATGCAGTTTGACACCACTTTAACTGTCATGGCTGGATGCAATAGGATTCTGGGATTTGTAGTTCTGTGAATTATTTAGCCTTCTCTGTCAGAGTGTTCTGGGACCACAGTGAACTGCAAATCCCAGGATTCCATGGCATGGAACCATAGTAGTTAAAGTGGTGTCAAACTGGATTATTTCTCCAGTGTAGATGCAAGCTAACTTATCAGGAAGAAAGTATGATCCTCTCTCAGGTCCAAAACACACTGTAGAAATAATAGTTTATTGTGGCACCAGAGCTCTGACAGAGGTGGTTAAATGCCTCACAAAACTACAGTTCCCAGATTCCCTAGCACTAAGCCATAACAGGTAAGCGGTCTCAAACTGGATTATTTCTGCAGTGTGTTTTGGACTTCAGTCTTCCTCTCTTTAGGTGGATCTACACCATCAAAATAATGTTGTAGCTCCATCCTATGGAATCCTGGCAT